CACAAGGGATGTATCACCCCTTGTGATATTGTTTCTAATGCTTAGGTGGGAGAGGATACTATTACTCACAATATTGCATTAAGTTTACACGCCCCTGTGATATTGTTCCAGTATCACAGGCGGTGTACAATGCTTCTGTGAAATAGTTCCTAATATCTGGGGAAGAGAGGATGATTATATCCTCAATATCGCAGGAAATGTACACCACCACTGTAACATTGTTTCTAATATCCAAAAATGGAGAGGATATTACTCCAAACATCACAGAAAGCACACAACCCCCCTTTGTTCCTAATATCTAGGGGATGAGAGATGACATTATTCCCAATGCGGCTGGGGCTGTACACCCGCCCTGTGATATTGTTCCTAATATCCAGGGAAGGAAAGGATGATATTACTGCCCGGTGTACGTCCCTTCTGTGATGTTATTTCTAATATCCCGGACAAAAGAGGGTATTACTCCCAATATAACAGGAAATATACTCCTTCCCCATGATATTCTTTCTAATATCCATGGGGAGAGGGAAATATTGCTGACAAATATCACAGATGTAAACCTCCCCTGTGATATTGTTCCTAATATCCAGGGAGAAAATATTACTCTCAATATTGCAGACGGTGTACACCCCAACTGTGTATTGTTTCTAATAAACAAGAGGTGGGGGTGAGAAAATGATATCACTCCTAACAACGCCAGGGATGCACACCCTCACTCTGATATTGTGTCTAATATTTGGGGGGGTATTACTCCCAATACTGCACGGTGTGTAGCGCCCCCCACCCCGTGATATTGTTCCTAATATCCAGTGGGAGAGAATAATACTCCTAATATCGCAGCGGGTGTACACCTCCCCGTAGTTTGTTTTTAATCTCCAGGGGATGATAGGATGAATTACTCCCAGTATCACAAAAGGTGTACACCCCCTCCCGTGATATTGTTTCTAATATCCAGGGGATATTATCGAAGGGCATGTACACCCCCCCCATGAAATTGTTTCTAATATTCTAAGGTAGAGAGGATCATATTACTCCCAATATTGCAGGGGCTGTGCACGTCACCCTGTGATACTGTTTCTAATATTCAGGGATGGGAGAAAATGACATTACTCCTGATTGGGCAGGTGTATATAGTTCCTAATCTGTTCTCACAGAACGATATATCCTTCCTAATATCCAGGGGAAAAGATGATATTGATCCCAATATCGCCTATGGTGTACATAACCCCACATGATATTGTTCCTAATATCTAGAAGGAAAGAGGATATTACTCTTAATATCGCAGAGGGTGTATACTCCTTTTGTAACATTGTTGCTAATATCTAGCTTCCCAGAATCCCCCCCAGCCCCGACCTGAGCCCACCTGGCCTGAGGCAAGGCTGCAGCTACTGGGAGGTGGGCAGGTTGGGGGGGGGCGGCCCAAACTAGGCTGCGCTTCCGGCCACCATCCCAGTCACCACAACAAGAGGCGCAGGGCGGCTTGGGAGCTGTTGAAGCTCCTGAACTACTTAAGGACTCAGGTGTTGCAAGGCGGTTAAGTTTTGCAGCCAGTGGCCATGGGGCCGGGGCTGCGACTAGACTGAAGTTGAGGCCTGGGCTTGGGAGTGCAGCTAGCCCAGAAGGAGCTGAGAAACCAGAGCAGAAAGCCATGCGGGTGCATTGCGGTCCCCAGAGCTCCCGTACTCTACAGCGGCTCTGGCTTCCGTAGGCCCCGCCCGTCTTGCCCACCCGGAAGCAGCCTCGCCCCGCCCACGTGGGCCCCGCCCCGCCCACGTGGGCCCCGCCCCGCCCACGTGGGCCCCGCCCTTGGCAACCAGACTTGCACTCCTCTTGCAGCAGTCCCACGTCGTGCCGATGGCCCACTACCAGGTGGTGAGCGTGTCTGGCTCCGAGGAGTTCAACCGGCCGTAGAACAGCACAATGGCAAGGCCATTTTCACCTACTTTACGGGTTCTAAGGACGCTAGAGGGAAAAGCTGGTGCCCTAACTGCGTGCAGGGTGAGGCCGGGATTCGGGGGCTCCTGTCCGGCGGAAATGGCAGGAAGGTCGAGGCTACGGCCAGAAAAGGGGCTTAGTGGAGGCAGAGTGTCTTGATTCCAAACATCCGTGGGGCAATCTGATCTGTCCCCGTCTCCTCCTATAAAATCCTACCTTGCCCTACCAAGAGCGCTCTTCTTTTTATAATTTTACCCGGATGATCTTGGAATCTAGTTCCTTAAAACTTCTCACTTACCCAGTAGTATTAGTGTCTTACAGGATGCATGTGTTGGTCAGCAAATGCATGTGCTTTCCATTGCTATGGGCGCGGTGGTGCAGGGGCAAATTGGGACTGGGATTTGGTCCTTACCCTTAATGTGGCTCTAACACCAGAAGTGAACGCCTGACTTCTGTTGACCTCTTTAGTTACCTGCAGGTTAAAGTGAGTATTTACCAAGACCAGGGGAAGGGGAGAAGAACACTGTTTATCAGTGCTTGATTGTCGAGTTGACGTGTTTATCTCAACTTTTTTTAAGCTGAACCAGTCGTAGGAGAGGGTCTGAAACACGTTAGTGAAGGATGTGTGTTCATCTACTGCCAAGTAACAGATAAGCCTTAGTAAGTGACAGTGTATACTCTATTTCACAGACGTGCGCAAATTGTAAACTTAGGCGGGAAGGGCCTCAGGGACTCACCCAGTTTCTCTGTTATAAGTTTATGTCTGACAAGATAAACAATTGGAAGCTATTAAATACAAATTTAAAATGCCCACCTGAATTAAGTAAGGGTAATTCAACGAATTTGGTCTGTGTAAACCCAGAACTTAGCTGGCTTTACTTTTATATCTTAGTCATGCTTTAAAACTTTGCACAGGGCAATTAATAGATTAAACCATAGTCCTCAAGGTTAAGTGTTTGCAAGAACAATGATTAATAAAAAATGTAGGGATATGTCAAATATTAAGCAAACTGTAATAAACCAAGTAAATTTTTTTCATGATGACTTTTTCTTTTGGAATAGTTGGAAAGATCCAAATAATGACTTCAGAAAAAACTTGAAAGTAACAGCAGTGCCTACACTACTTAAGTATGAAACAGTAGGTATCTTTCTTTAAATATGCTGGGCCTGTAATTCACTGTCAAAACTCTTTTAACTTGCTCTGGATCCAACTCTGATAAGATCTTGACACTGCATCTCAATTCCACTGCAGTTCAGAGTGCTGCTGAGAGTCCATTCCTATGGCCAATGCCAATAAACTGATAATGTAAATATCTAGCTATTAGGTCTTTTTCATGGTAAGTCACAGTTAACAAATTCTATAATCAGAAAGTAGGCTGACTCATAATTCCTTAAAACACCTGCATCAAGAGTTGTTTTCTATGTAATTCATAAGTCTGGTTAAAAAGGGCACCTCCTCTACTTCAGTCATGCCCCTGGGATCCTAAATTACAGAGTTGAGGGGAAGAAGAGGGTACTGGGCTTGCTGTCTCCTGTTTTAGTCTGTGGAGCTTCCTGGCATTTGGGGTTTAAGTCCCTTGAGCCAAGTATGTTAGTGATTCATCTTACAGCAAATATCTTGATTCCTAAAACTTGTTATAACTGGTTGATAGTTTCTCAATTGAGTAATTTGTCTTCAAAGATTAGTGTCATTCAAGGCAGAACTCATTCTACTCCTAGTAATGTTTTATAGGAGTAGTTAAGATTAGACTGTTCTTCTCTTACAGCCTCAAAAACTGGTAGAATGAGTGTCTTCAGGCCAACCTTGTGGAAATGTTCTCTGAAGATTAAGATTTTATGATGGCAATCATGTCTTGATTTCCTGATTTTAGTATCAAAAAACTGTATACTTGCTTTGAATTCATGTTAGCAATAAACGATGTTAAAAAACTGGCATGTGTCTAAACAATAGGGTGCTATTAAAATGCCCATGAACCTTTAGTTTGCTTGTAATATATCTTCAGAAGTAGCAGTAAAGGCTCAAAGGAATGTATTATTGAAAGTGACAGAAATGCATAAAAGCTCCTAAAGGTACAGAGGACACCTTCCAAATCTCTAAAGATCAGGATCTTTTAAATTCTATGTATCTGCAAAGCAACTGATACTCCTGAAACCCCTTCTTTGATTTTGGAATGTAGAACCTAACCTCACCACTGAAGGAAAGCACACTACCCGTAATCCAGCTTCTGCTTAATTCAGGCAGTTTTGTTTCATTTATTAAAAAACAAGACTCCTGAGTACTAGAGGCAGTTCGTTTTACAGCTATCTCAACGTGCTTTACTTGGGATGAGGCAGGTGGCAAAGAGGGGCTAGAGAGACTATATAACCTAGTGGTGGGAAGAACTCCAACCTGGGAGTCAGTCACACTGATGCTACCATTTACTAGCTGTGTAACCGTAGGCAAATTAAGTTACTCACCCTGTCCAAACCTCAGTTTTGTCTTCTATAAACAAGGTTCTGAGAATTCAAGGAAGAACTTAACATAGCACCTGGTTTGTGGTACCTCCCAAATCACTGTTAGCTTTTCCAAGTGAGCACCAGTATTTGAGGCTCCTCATCTTTGTTCTGAAGTCAAGAGACCAATTAGTAATTAACCACTAGTTGTCCTGCCATAACTAGGTCAAGTGAGGTCACAGTGATTCTTAAAGCCACCTTGCAAAGCAGGTAATAGAGATATTTCCTTTCCTGCAAAATTTAAGAACCTTTATGCAGCTCCTGTCTGGTGATTTAAAGAAGTCACTGACTCCGCTACTCTCACTTCATAGGTAAGAGTGGTAGAGTAGTTGATCTGAGACACAGTAAGGTTCCAGGAGAAGGCTTGCCCTACTATATGTCAGGAAAAGCTAGCTTTAGAATTCAGTATACTTGGTGGCCCACTCCTACCCCATGCCCCCCTGCCTTCTTAATTTGGTCTAAAGCACTTAATATTGCGTTCTTAATTTGGCCTAAAGCACTTAACTTTTCCATTCTTAATCAGCTGATTATGCTAAATGCTTAAAAAAGAAACACCTTAAAATCCACGTGGAAATCAAAGTAGAACACTTCAGGTTTAACAGTGATAGTCTATTGACAATAAAAAGTTAGCTGGATTGAAAAGCGCACTAAAGGTTCTAAGGGCTACCATAATAAGCTAGATAGGAAGAGTTTTCATTTTTTTTTTTTTTGTCTTCACTGTACAAAAGAAATATATATATATATGTATCTTCAGAGCCTCGTCTGTATCCAGTTTTTCATTTTCCCGATGTGTTATTTTGCTGTTGCTGCTCTGCCAAGGCTTGCAGAAGGCGCATCCACTTCCGGAATAGTGCTGCCAGTGTAGAATCTGCTGTTCATCAATAAATTTCGCACACTGGGCATTCACCAGCTCCTTTTGGAAGTGTTCATATTGGAGCAGCTCTAATGTGTAAACACTGAGGGTACCTGGGTTTAAGTTTATAAGTGAATGAACAACATAATTTAAGTAAATAATGCCAAGGTCTAATTCAGTTATTCTCTTAAAAATGATCTTGTAGCCTACCATTTCTATAACATTAACTTAGTACACTCTAGCAGCATAGGGTTTTTCCCCCGCATAGTCATCAAAAGTCAGTGTTCAGCAAAATTTTCAAGTGAGGAGGTTTAAGTTCAGAAAGATTAAATTAACTTGCTCAAGTCTACAGAACACAGTAACTGGTAAGCAGAGTGAAAATTTAGGGACAAACCTTGCTATTCCCTTCTAGTGGTTTCCAAGATGAAGAACATGAACATATTTTAGTAATTATGTGTTTAATTGATAGTTACTGGTTTTTCCATCAATAGTGATAAAAAGACAATTTTCAGTTTGAAAGAGGACTATGCATATACATTGTACTCTTGTCCACAGGGATATACCAATTCTGAAATTAGGTATACTCCAGGACTGGACAAGTAAATATACTGTGGATACGGAGAGCCAAATTTTGGCTATCAGAAAAGGAGTTATAGACAAGCAAAGGAAAAAGGCTAGAATGAACCCTGTGTTACTGAGCTGGTATTGAAAACAGTATGCACTTACGACTTTTAATATATAGAGACATAGATATATACGTGTGTGCATGTATACACACATACATACATATATAGAGTTCTTGAGCTTTGTGTACTAAGAGGGCCTAGAAGCAATGACACTGTGGTACTAATAAACACAGTGCCCGGTTTCCAAGGAGCAGGTTTCCTTGGAGAAAAGGCCGATTCAGGGATAAGACAGGGAAAGGACAAGATGAGCCTGGAACATTACGTAGTGCCAGAAGAAAACGTGCTAAAATTCTTAGGAGGATCAAAAGTATTCAGGAGCCAACTTGAAGGGACTCCTAATGGCCAAATCTGGAATACTCAGAGCAAGAAAATACATAATTAAAATTCACAGAATAAAAATAAGAATACAAAAGTCCATCCTAAATGGATGTAAATTTCTTTAATAATAAATAGAAAACGAGGAAAAGTACTTCCCTACAATCGAATTCCAAACTAATAAATGGAGAATGATAGAATTAGAAAACCACCACAGTGAAAATTGTTTCTTCAAAAGCAAGTATCTTCAAAAGATGCTAAAATTAATGGGCAAAAGTATATGTAATATGATATTTACATAGTCTCAAGGGATTTCCCCATAAGATACTTATTAAATATACAAGGAAAAATAGTAACTTGATACTGAGAAACCTAGAAGGTACCCCCCTCAACCAAGTTATCAAAATTAGTATCACCAGCAGTGGGACAAACAGACTTCATGTGACTATAGATATATGACAGATACAAAATCATTTCTGTTATAGTCATGGCAAAGAAAAGACCACTGAGATTAAAGGAGACTAAGAAAACAAGACAATAAATGCAATATGCAGGCCTAGACTGGATCCTGTACTGCATACAGCACACCAGCAGGACAACTGGCAAAATCTGACCTCTGTAGATTGGGTAATAATATTAATGTTCTGATTTTTGCTGATTGTATTGTTAAACATTTGGAATATCTGAGTGAGGAAAATATAGGAATTCTCTTTACTATTTTTTCAGGTATTTTGTAAGTGAAATTATTTCAAGTTGAAAAGACACAAAAGCATTTAAATGAGACAAAATACATTGAAATATAGGAAGTATGCAGATAAAGCCAAAGTTGTAGAAGTGATATGCAAATGACTAAAGTTTGGAAAATACGATGCTAGAGCGACGCTTCTAAAACTTTAATGTGTGTATGAATCACTTCTTAAAATGCAGACTGATTCCTTAGGTCTGCAGTGAGGCCTGAGCTCTGCGTTTCTAAAAAGCTCCCAAATGGAACCAATGCTGCTGATCCGAACACCACACTGAATAGAGGGCTTAGCAGCATGCTTCTAAGAGAGTAACTTCCAAGGGAGTAAAGGTTTGCTATCTACCCACTAAAAATACACAGTTGCTCTGATTGCTGGCTGCTTATGCTAGAATGCTCTATTCACACCTGCCCTGGCTAATTCCCTTTCATGACAGCATGAGTAGTTAAAATGACCAGGATATAAGTTCCAGCCAGGTAGCCTTTAACAAGGTACTTAACCTCTCTAAAGTTCAGTTTCTTCAGCTGTAAAATAATATGACAAGCAAGAGAAGTCTCAAGTAGCATTTGGTCGGTAACTAGAATTTAGACAGGCAGCGATTATATCAGAATATATTAGATGACAATAAAGAATCATACTCTGGATAGGCTACAAGTCAACAAGATGAAACAGAAGTAGTAAAGCAAAGTTCTGCATTTGGTGTTTTAGAAAATAAACAAGATAGGGAGAACTCAACAGCATTGATGAAAATAAGAACCGAAGGATTTAAGTTGACATTAATGCTCCCAGCAAGTCAACAATGTGATCCTCTCCCCACCCCCACTCCAAAAGTAATATAAACATAAGTTTAATTAATAGAGGTGTATGTCCACATAAAGAAAAGAAAGGACCTCTGGCCCACTGTACTCTGACCACATCTGAAGGCCTGTATTTAGTTCTTGGCTGAACTGCATAAGGTACAACTGCCAAATATCCAAAGGAGGGAACCTGAACTCATGAGAAGCCTGGGCACCATGGCACAATGGCTGAAGGGAGTTAAGAAAAACAGATGTAAGAGAGATGTTATAGTGGCAGCTACTGGTTAGCAATGAAGCAGGCCAAGTGGTAGAAAGTCTCTTCCACCAGGTGGAAAGCAGCTAGGAGTGACAGCTGCTCTCAGCTTCAGCCAGTTGTTAACTTGAAGAATTAAGATCTATGGCTGCTAGATCTTCCAGATTTTAAAGAGTAGCTGGCAATCTGCATTTATTAAATAAAACTTTTCGATCTTTAAATGCTGGCAAGCATTAAAAAAACATAAAAAACAAAAAACTAAAATCTTGGGCAGACTAAATAAAATGCCCAAAATGGGCTAATTTGTAATCTCTCTTGAATGTAAATATCTAAAAGGCTGTTGTCCTCAAGAGGGTATAGAATGGTTCTAGCTTAATCCAGGGACAAAGAGATTGAAGCTACAAGGAGGTATATTATATCACAATATAAGGAAGAACTTTATAACTTCTGGCTAACAATCGAATCCGCTGCCCTTGACAGAGTAACAGGGGATCAATGGAAACTTCCAGAGTGTAGATGACCATCTCTCAGCAACATTGTGGGTAAAATTAAACTTACTGGTGGATAAGGCTTCCAACACTGAGTGTAAATCTACACACATACAACACTTGTTGACATATACTTTTTAAAAAGTCTTTTCTTTGGATTATTAAACAGATAAAAAGCCAGAAAAGATACAAATGGTCCTGCAGGCAACACAAGATGTATATGCTTCATGAGTCATCTGTTACTGCACATAGAAAAGTGACTTTGAGACAAGTTTGAAACATTTTCCTCTCAAACTTTTTTTTTTTTTAAAAAGGCTCACTACTGCTTTCCGACTACCTGTTTAAGACAAAGCAGGGGTGTGAGTTCAAAGTGTAGTTGTTTTTTTACCATTAAAAGGGAATTGCTTTCTGGTTATAATATGCTTCCTGCAACTTAGTAAGCTTTTACAGGAAAGTGTCTGCTGAACAACCTGAATAGTAAACATATACTCATAAATGAATAAATGGATGTGAAGCATTTAGCACTGTTCTTGGCACATAAAAGGCCTTAAAGAAAAGATAGCAGCTCTAAGACTCAGGTAAGACTCCTCCAAACAACCCCAAACACCTTCCTTACAGATACCCTCTTTTTGTGTTCTTTAGTTTCAGCCCATGGCTATGTCACTACATTTACGGATTGTGAGTTCTTCAGGATCAGAAACCTGGTGAGATGGGAGGTTGGTAAAAGACAGGGTCAGACAAAGCAGAGCCAGATCATAGAGGGGTTTAGCCCAAAAAAGAGAGACTGGATTTTATTCCGCATGGAATGGAAAGCCATTGAAAGGTTCTAGGCAAAAAGTAAAGTGTTCTGATTTACATTTTTAAGTAATTAAGTTGGCTTCTGTGTAGAAAGCTGTTTTGCTTTGTTTGGTTTGGGGGTAGGGGCAGGGGGGCAGGAAGGTAAAAGTGGAAACAGAGATAACCAGGGAATAGATTACTGCAGTGATACAAGTTAGAGATGAGGGTGTCTTGTATTAACGTGGCAACAACTAAAAAAAGTGGAGAGATTCGAAATATATTTTTGCCAATGTGAAACTAAGAAATCTATTATATAACAAAGTATACACATGCTTAGGATTATAAAAATTAAACTTACTTTAGATACTTGGCATATTCTGGGTCTTTCCAGTAAAGCAAGTATTTAAGAAAATTAACAAAAGCTTTGTCTTTGAAGTAACCTCTCTAGGCAAGAATTGAAAAGCATTAAAAAAAAAGAAAATCTGTAGTTCAAACCAGTTCTTCAGCTATGATTTGTTACCCCTAATATAAAGGATCTAGTTACATAATATCCCCACCACCAACACACGTCGGATTCAAAACACAAGTCCCAGTGTGCACAATTACATCTATAAACCAGCATAAGTGTAATTTCATTCCAGTGAAAATGTGTACAAGTAGATACTATTTTGAATTGCAACTCTTCAGTCAGAAATTAATAGCTACTCAATTAATTGAACGAGGTGCTTAAAAACTTACAATTAAGGTAATTTGGGTTGGCTAAACATTGCACAAATTCCAATTCCAATTGAAACCGAAGTCGATTTCCAGAATCATCGAGGAGACAAGAGAGCAAAAATCACCAAAAATAAAGGTCACTGTATATAACACTGATTTGTGGTAAGGAAAGAATAAAGAAACCTGACTAATATTGAGATGTTCTTCCTAAACTGGGAATGGGTGGAGATAAACCTTTCTTCGAAATCTAAGAAAAGCGGAGCCTTGATTAAAAGGATTAAGTTAGAAATTTCTATAAAGAGAAATCATCAAAGAAAACAGCCACACAAACGGAGCAGAATTCTTACCACTTGTGGGCCACTTTGCAGGAATTTTAAGTGATCACTTAGGTAGGCTGTAATAATTGTGACTTCTCCTATTTTAATAATGCGTTGTAACAACTGTTAACGGTGATTAAGTTTCGAAAAAGCTACGTGCTGAATCCGTTAAGAAAAGCTTAGCATGCAAGCCGAAAAAGAGACTGCAGAGAGCCTAAAAGGTCGTGGAGTGTATGCATATATGAGAAGCACCAGCAGCAGAATGACACACAAGTCTAGCGACGATATTTCAAACATGCAAGCTCGTGAGAAGCAGAAAACCAATTAAGGAGGACATGATTTAACACCCACGTCCTCTCTTAATCTCGCCCACGCTGGGGAGCTGGTGGTTTTTGAATAGCAAAGATGTGGAATAAACCAAATTAGGAGAACTGCGAAAAGTACCTTGGTCTTTCTAGACGCCACAAGAGCCTTCTCTCCTCCCTGTCCAAATACGAACCCTGCCGAGTGAGGCCTGAAAGGCGGCCCCGGGGAAGCGGTCTGGGCCTAGGAGAATTCCATCTGTGAAGACTCCAGGCTCAGAGAGCCACTCACCTGTCTCCATAGCGACAGCGGCGACCGTAACAAACGGAGACACCAACTCGCCACCAGCAGGACAAAGCAAAAGCCCAAAATGGGGAGGGAAGTTCCGGAAACCACGGCTCCCTCTTCCGGTCTCGGGGCATTGTGGGATGAGGGGCGGGGAGGCTCCGCCCATCCCCGGCCAGCTCCACCCCCGCTGGCTCCAGAATGGCAGAGGGTGGGGATGGGGCCTTGGGAGCGACCGAGCGGCAGGAGCCCAGTGTTTTAGCCATCGAAGGACCATGGTGCTTCCATGTCACCATGTTGTGGTGCTCCCGCCTGTGGCAGTACAGTAGTTTTCCTCTGTTTTGCCTGCGGTGGCCATTGGTATGTGGGGTGCCCAGAGGCCTCCCTGACCCCCTCACGCCTGGCAGAATGGCCTCAGCTCGAGGAGACAAGCAGGCTTCGCCCCGGGTGGGGACCGCCTGCTACACAGAGACATCCACGGTCCTCGTGGAGACCTGGTCCCACCGCGTGGAGACGTCGTCCCAGCGGGTGGAGACCTCCCAACGCTGCAGTGAGGAGCTCTCCCTCTCACCGTCAGGAAAGCGGCTCCCTAGCGTCCTCGAGGCGTCCTCCCTGCACGTGGAAGCCTCCTTGAAGCACATGGAAACGGCCTCCCACCACGTCAGGGCCTCGTCCCTGCAGATGAAGACTTCTCTGCACCGCGCGGAGAGCCCGGCCCCTCGGGCCAGGCCGGCTGCTCCCCACCGAGGGAAAAAATGGCCTGATGAGATGCTGCTTCCCAAGGGCCACCAAGGAGCCAGGGCCCTCAGCCAGGACAGAAAGGCCTCCAGCTGCCAGGTGGACCAATGTTTTTTGGTTTCATGGAAACAGCCCATAAATCAATGTAAGAGACAGCCAAGCCGCCATTCCAATAAACATCCAAGGTTTATTGACCGTCGTCCTGCAGCATCTTGGACCAGCCTACTTTTGACCCAGCGAATTATTTTCACTTGAAGCCAGCACAAAAGGTTTTCAGGCCCAGGATGTTGTATAAATCGGGTTGATGGACAAAGAGGCTGTTTGAGCCTTTGAGCCAGGCGAGTTTGGGATCCAAAGCCCTCAGATGACCTTAACCCCTTAGGAACAGAGACCAAACTGAAATCATGACCTGTGGAATGATTCCGTGCCTGCTAAAAGCTTGAGAGGCAACAGACTCATAAATTAGTAATTGGGCTTTGTTTACGTTTCAAAGTAAATGGTTTTCTTTATGTTAAGTCTTTGTACCTGGCACACCTATCCATACACTTTTTTAAGGTAGGTTAGATGTACTTAAAAACTACAGCAAACCCACCAGCAAGCAAAAATAATCTTAGAAGAGAAAGTGAAAGGAGGTCATGGAAACCTGACCTGAGGTTTGAAGAAGATGGACAAGAGTCATATTTATTGAGAACCTGCTCTGTGCCAGGCACTACAGATGCTCCTCCACTTTCGATGGGGTTACCTCCCAATAAACCCATTGTAAGCTGAAAATATGGTAATTTGAAAATGCGCTTACTATCTACAACCTACTAAATATCGTAGCTTAGCCTAGCCTACCTTAAACACGTTTAGGACACACTAGCCTAAAGTTGAGCAAAATCATCTAACAGAAAGCTTATTTTATAATAAAATGTTGAATATCTCATGTAATTTATTGCTTACTATACTAAAAGTGAGAAACAATGGTTGTATGAGTACTTAAAGTAGTATTTTTACTGAATGTCACTTTTGTACCATTGGGAACTGTCTGTATTCTGGGAACTTGGACTATAGCAGTAAAAAAGGCAAAGACCCAACTCTAGTGGAGCTTACACTCTGGTGAAAAGGTAAACAAGCAATGATGAAAGGAGACAATTTTCTACTGTGATTAGCACTATAAAGGAAATATATGGGTAATGTGATAGAGATTACTTACTCATTAGGTGACATTTAATCTGAGATATGTGTGAACGAACAGTGATCTGGAAAGGGGACATTCTAGGCAGAAGGAACAGCAAATACAAAAGGTGGATGGAACAAGTTTTGAATGCTCAAGGAACAGAAAGAAGGCCAGTGTGGCTGGAGTGAGATAGGGGCAATTCTATACACATGGAAGCAGAATGGAAGACAGGAGATTAAAGCAAGCAGGGGCCAGTCCACAGAAGGCCTTCTAAGCCACAGTAAGGAGTTTGAGATTTATTCTAAGGTCAACAGGAAAACATTGGAGGGTCTCCAACAGGGGAATGACATGATGGCATTTACATTTTAAAAATATCCTTCTGGCTTCTGTGTGTAGAACGTGGGACAGTGGTTCTCAACGAAGTGTGATTTTGTCCCCCAGATGATATATGGCAATTTCTAGAGACATTTTCGTTTGGTGGAAAAGTTGGGGGGTGGTGCACAGAAGGTGCTACTAGCACCTGGTGGGTAGAGGCCAGGGATGCCACCTCACATCCTACAGTGCACGGATCAACACCCCCACCCTCTCTGCCAACAACGAAGAATCACTGGTCCCAAAATGTCAATAGTGCCGAGGCTGACAAACACTGACAGTTCTAGCAGTTTGAAAAGCTAGAACATGGTCCACTGGGGCAGCACCCCACTTCTGCACATCAGGATTGCAGTGAGACCTAAGAAACAGTCATGGAAGAGGGTTACCTCTAAGGTTAAGGAGAAGTCATCAAAGAAAACAGCAACACAAACGGAGAATTCCTACCACTCGTGGGCCACTTTGCAGGAATTTTAACAGTGATCACTAACGTAGGCTGTAGTAACTGTGGCTTCCCCTATTTTAATAATGCGTTGTAACAATTGCTAACAGTGATTAAGTTTCGCAAAAGCTATGTGCTGAATCTGTTAAGAAAAACTTAGGATGCAAGCTGAAAAAGATACTGCAGAGGGCCTAAAAGATCACCGAACGTACGCATATATAAGAAGCACAAGTAGCAGAATGAAACACAAGTCTGGCGACAATATTTCAAACGTATGCAAGCTCATGTGAGAAGCAGAAAGCCAATCAAGGACGCGCTTTAAGACATAAGGAGGACACGCATTAAGACCCAACTCCTCTCCCTTAGTGTCGCCCACGCTGGGGAGCTGGTGGCGTCGTGTTTGAATAGCAAAGATGTGCAAACAAACCAAATTAGGAAAACTGCAGAGTACCTTAGCCTTTCTAGACGCTACAAGAGCCTTCTCTCCTCCCTGTCCACATACCCTGCAGAGAGTGAGGCCTGGAAGGAGGCCCCAGGGAAGCGTGAGAAGCGGTCTCGGCCGAGGAGAGTTCTATCTGCAACGACTCCAGGCTCAGAGAGCTACTCACCTGTCTCCATAGCGACGGCAGTGGCCATAGCAAATAGACACTGAATCAACACCAGCCCAACAGAGCAAAAGCCCGGAGGAGCTTAAGAAGTTCCGGAAACCACGGCTCCCTCTTCCCGTCCCGGGGCATGTGGGATATGGGGGCGGTGGCTCCGCCCATTCCTGGCCTCGCGGGCTCAGCCCAGGCTGGCTCTCTAATGGCAAGGGTTCGGTGCCCGGCTGTGGGAGCGCCCGAGGGGCAGGATCCCAGGGAGGCAGAGAGTTTTACCCTCAAATGGAGTGAGTACTGGCTGGGCGCGGTGGCTCACGCCTGTAATCCCAGCACTTTGGGAGCACGAGGCGGGTAGATCACGAGGCCAGGAGAGCAACTTGGCCAAGATAGTGAAACCCCATCTCTACTAAAATACAAAAGTTAGCCGGGCGTGGTGGTGCGCGCCTGTAATCCCAGCTACTCGGGAGGCTAAGGCAGGAGAATTGCTTGAACCCGGGAGGTGGATGTTGCAGTGAGCCGAGATCGCGCCAGTGCACTCCAGCCTGGGCGAAGAAGTGAGATTCCGTCTCAAAAAAAAAAAAAAAGGATGGTGGGGGGGAATGAGTCCCAGAGTCTGGCACAAGGAAGACAAGTGTGCAAAGTTGGTGGAATGAATTCAGTAGCCTACATATACCTTCCTCAAGCGCCACGGCAGACTGGGTCTCCTTGCCTACTTCACCCTTTCCTGCAATCCAACTTGTGAGGCGTGTGTGCGTGTGTGCGTGTGTGTGTGTGTGTGTGTGTGTGTGCGCGCGCGTGCGCACGCGCTTCCCTTTAGATGGAGGTTGGCTTCCCAGCCATCCAGACTTGCCCCAAAGTCCGTGGTACACGCTCGCATTACTCCTTTCCCCACCTCGCCTGCCTGCTGTAGCAGGCTTTGATTCCTTCTTCCTGCGTGTTTTGGACAGAAAACACGCAGGTGGCACACAGTAAGCGCTTAATAAATGTCCCGGCTACGCGATCTCCTTGGAAGTGAGGGGATGCTCCTGTGCGCCCCTCGTTGCACAGAGCTCCCTTGTCTGAAAACTCAGCGGTCACTGGAGGGGTCGTCGGCCCTCTCAATTTCTCTATTTTAAAAAGCCGTTTCAAGCGCCAGCGCTGTTGAATCTCCGACCTTTCGGGCTTTATCGCCTGGGGTGGGGTGGGTGGTGAGAGGGAACGGATGGGAAGCCAAGACAGGAGAACACTCCCGATTTGCCGACCCACATCTCATCGTATATCATATCAACCTGGAGTTCCACCGGGTCCTGTTACTTTTTTTTTCTTCCACCAACCCCAAATTCCCATCACTGGTCTAGCTCTCCCCCAGTTCCCCAAATCCGGATGTCTATCCCAGGGAACTTCAAAGAAACTTGCCCGAATGAGGTCCGCCCCTCTTCCGACCTCCCAGAACTCTCCTCCTGCCTCCCCTGGTGTCACCCGCGCCTCCTCCCTTGCTTCACCTCCCTCACCTCACCTCCCGCTAAAGAATTCGGCGCAGTCAGTTCTAGACCCTGAGCATCTCCCGCGTCCTTGCTCAATATCCGCCCCGCCCCCGACCGCTCACGTCCCCTTGAACCTGCTGAGCCCTGCTCCCCACACCCCCATGCTCTTGCTCCGAGCTTCGGAGAAAGAAAATGCGCACAGAGCGGGTGGCCCCGCAACTCCACGGTGAGGAAACGGAGGACGGAAGGTGGAAAGGCGCACTCCTTCCTCCCTTCTTCCCTCCCTAGGGTGGGCAGCTGGTGACACACAGTAAACGCTCAATAAATGTTCCCGCTGCTCGATCTCCTTGGAAATTCAGGGATGCTTCTGAGTGCCAGCTTTGGCGCCTGGAAACTGCAGTCGCCGGAGCGGTCGTCGATCCTCCTGCCTTCTCGATTTTAAAAGTCGTTTCACACCTCCAGCGGCCTCGCCACCTCTGCTGCAGACCTGCCAAGCCCTTCTGAAGCCAGAAGGACTTCTCCCTAATTCACTCCCGCTGCTTAACACGTTTGAATGGCTTCCGCTTATTCTCGGGACCAAATGCAAAGCCTTTGGGGCCACCTTCAAGAGCCTCCCGACCTGCTGACCCTGTCTGTCACGTTCTGTCCCTGCCTGTCACGCCTTTCCCCTATCTACCCTCTCACTATTCCTGGCTGAGCCATCCCCACCTCCAGGTCTCCGGGAAGGCTGTCCCCAGGCCGGTGGGGCCCCTGAAGGGCCTCGGGGGAGGGGGTCGCACAGCGGGAATTGCCACCAGCACGTCCCGGCTTCACAGCGCGCTTGTCCAGGGCACGGCTCCGGGTTCCCAGCGCCCAGCCCAGGGCTTAGAACAGTCAATGACCACAGGGAAGAGAAAGTGAAGGAAGGAGCAACCCTTCTACCTGCTGCCCTCTTCCCCTCAGAACCGAGTCCCGCTCCCCCGCTCTCTTCGCACCGCTTTTTCAGAGGCTCCGAGGAAGGGCGTGGGCGCTGGAGGGCTTAGCCGAGTGCCCCTTGGCCAAGCCCCACCGGGTCCGAGCCTCTGCTGCCGCCCGCCCACAGGAGACCAAAGTCCAGGTGAAAGTACCGGAGTACCTGGGGCCGCTGCTGTTTGTAAAACTGCGCAAACGGCACCTCCTCCAGGGCGACGCCTGGTTCTGCAGCTGGATCGAAGTCAGGTTCCCTTGTTATCGCTGGGTGGAGGACGACGAAGTCCTGAGCCCTGGTGAGCGCGGGGCTGGGGATGTCAGGAGGCCTCTGGGGTGCGAGAGAAGCTGGAGGGATGCGGGTGTGGAGGAGAGGGTGCGGGATGGGGGCGCTGGAACCTGAAACGCAGGGGTCTTCGGGGGTGTCGAAGGGGCAGTGGATGCAGCTGGCACAGAGTGGCTGGAGGCTGGGGAAGGGTCGCGGTGCTGAAGGGGCAGGGGCCACCCAGAAGGCAGGGGTGATGAGGCTTTCCTGGCAGGAAGGAGAAGAGACTCGCAGAAAAAGTCATTGGCCAAGCCCTCCCCCCTCCTTCTAGGCCACACTGTGGTCGGCGACCCCCAAGGCCTGTTCAGGAAACACCAGGAAGAGGAGCTGGAAGAGAGAAGGAAGCCGAACCGGTGAGCCCTCCTCCCCTGACCCCAGGGAGCTCCTGATGCCTCTAGCACCCCTGCCTGATTTCACTCCTGCCCCACAGGTGGGGAAACTGGAAGGATGGGTTAGTTCTGAATGTGGCTGGGGCCAAACTATGTGACCTCCCTGTGGATGAGCGATTTCTGGTAGACAAGAGAGTTGACTTTGAGGCTTCTCTGGCCAACGGCTGAGAGCAAGGGGTGGCTGGGTGAGAGGGAGGTAGAAGGCAAGGGACTTATGGGCTGCACTGCACGGGCCCAAGACAGGTGCCTGTGGTTGTAATGCTGGAGTCTCAGAATGATGTTCAAACCCTTTGCCCCATCCTTCCCTGAAGGCTGGCCAACCTTGCTATCAAAGACTCTTTAAATGTTCTGACTTGCTGGAAGGCTCTGGATGACTTCAACCAGACTTTCTGGTGCAGCCAGAGCAAGCTAGCAGGTCAGTCCCCCACCCTGATACATCTGCTAGGACGCTTACCCCCAGATCTCACCCAATCCAGGGGAATTGGAAGAACCAGGTTGGGGAGACCAGAGACTTGGGTCCTCTGGTGGGCTGGAGTCAAGAAGTCATGTGTGATGAGGTTGGAAGGACCAAGAGCTCAGATCCCACAACTTGCTCAACAGCTGCCTTCCCCAGAGTGTGTGCGGCACTTCTGGAAGGAAAATGCCTTATTTGGGTACCAGTTTCTTAATGAGGCCAACCCCATGGTGCTGAGGTGCTCTAGTCACCTTTCTGCCTGCCTTGTGTTCCCTCCAGGCATGGAGGAACTGCAGGCCCAGCTGGAGAAGGAGCTGGAGGTAAGGCC